GATCTTGGCAAGTTTATGCAGTATCTTGCAGGATCTTACAGGATCTTGGTACAAGATCTTGCCTGATCTTGCTTAAGATCTTTGTTAAGATCTTGTAAGATTTTTATAAGATCTTGCAAGAATCTTGGCAAGATGTTCAACCTGGGCATGATGGATTGGTTCTTGAGGAGCATTTAGCTTCAAGTACCATCACGAAAAGTACTGTCAGATCATGAAGAATGAAAGGTATTTACATGATCTCCGTCGAGCCCATTTTAGCATTGTAGTTAAAGCATACTGCTTATTTCTCCACTTGTCTTATAACTCTGATGCCAAGAACCATGTACAGTATTGAAGTGCAATTATGATGTGAAGCATGTTTCTCATCTCAGATGTCTTTGTTATCTTAGTTTGAGATCAGTGAATAGTCATGAGCCAGTGCTAAGCTACATCAAAACATTCTGTCATGTTTGATGGTTTAATCAATTAGAAGACAAAGGGTATGTTAATTGAGTAACAAATGAAGGGATTATCCTGTCATTGGCTCATTTTGTCACTTGCCAGCCAAGCAAATAACTTAAAGAAATTTGGTTACAAGACACTACCTTAACTAATGGAAGCAAATGATCAGTTCGAAGAAACCCAATGTGCTGGCCATAGCTTTTAACCAGTATAGATTTTGAAAAACAAACAAAAATTATACAATAACTCGATTAAAGAAAAAATTATTGAATATTAATATGGTACTACCTAGCTAGAAAAAGCAAAATAAATTACAAAGGCCGCTTTTCAAAATATTAGCCTGTGGAATTAGTGATGATATAAAGGATTGATACATTATACTTAATAGATAAACCAATTTTCTTAAGTTGTTTTTGATCAACTCAAATCTTATTTTCTTGTCAATTATTATGAACAGTTCTTGGTGTGTTGACAAAATTCCACATGATAAAACTACTGACTGAATGTGAAATAAGCTCATCAAGGACATAGCAATACCCATACAAGAACACTATCAGTGCAGCTGACATAACAGCTTTTTCTAATGTCTTTAATATATGTACATCTGTGTACAAATAATCCCACACAATAAAAGAATTCAATAATGACATTTCAGTAGATAACAAAAGGATGTTTGTATTTTCTCATACTATTTAAATGCAAACAGCTATCTAATATCTTAATCCCAATCATAGAATGGTACAATTAAATAGATTAGTGCTATATTACATGATACGAGGAAAATACTAGCAAAAATGTTTATCAGCTAACAATCTAATTCAAAGCCATACTAACTAGAAGGTGACAACTATGTACAAAATTATCAATTGTGAAATGCCAATTTTTATAATCATTAATTCATATCTCATAATGAATTAATATTATACAAATAATATGTCAGCTACAAATTCATAGCCAGCAAATAGCAATGCATATAATATATCACTGTCTACTTACACAAGCACTTCTATTACAGTATTTGCGATTGTGTAATAAATTATGTTAATGCTATTAAAATGTTTTTCTTACTTTCTTACCTATTTTTTCCCTGATATTGCATTTAATTTTATGTTTAGGATGCTAAATGTGTCCCAAACTTTTGGAACAGAACTGAAAATACAGCGATTGACATGGGAAAATTATATCTTTAAGAAAGCTGAGTTCTTTCGTATTACAAAACACTCAACACAATTACTCTGAAATTCTGATTGGACAAGAGGACAATTAATTCCCAAATTGTACTCTGTAGAGTCCCAATTAAGTTGCTCAGTTTTGTTGAGTGTATTATAAACAAAAAATAGCACAATCTTCTTGTTTGATTCTGAATTTATAGATACTCATGATGTTTTGAAAGTTCTCAAATCAAACTCGCCTAAAGGCTCGTCTAATTTTCAAACCTTTCAAAACATCATTCGTACCTATAAATTCAGAATTGTATTCAAGATCATGTGACTTCCTATACAAATTGAGAATCAAAAATATGATCAAGCGAAATTAAATTATTATGACATCACCACTTGAGAACTTTATTGGAACGCTTTACAGTGATTCATGATTTTGACTCCCCTTAGGGACTGTTCATTAATTATGCCTCAGGGTGGGCTGGAGGAAAAATTGAAAAAAAACCTTGGAAAAATTCACAACCTCCCAATTCTGATTTTTTTTCAAAGCCCCCCCAC